TGGCTATAAGCCACCGGATCAGCGTAGAAGTCACCTCAGACTTCTTCGCGAGAGGAAACACCGTGGTGTACCTGGAGAAGTCGTCGACGACCACCAGAAAGTAGCGCTCCCTCTCAGGTCCCTGCGTAGGTGCAGGGCCCCAGACATCCAAGTGGAGTGTCTGGAAGGGAGCAGTGGCCGGACGAAGGGAGGAGGAGTGCGGAGTGGCACGAAGACGGCCGGCGACGCAAGGAGTGCACGGCGGCGCAGGCGAGGGAGGGAGCGACGGGAAAACACGAGGGAGACCTGAGACAAGACGGTGACCAGCCATAGTGCGGAGGCGGGGGATCGACGCGTGGCCAAGACGGTGGTGCCACAAGACGGTCCGGTGGGTGAAAGACCGACACGAGCAAGACGCAGCAACTAGACCGGACACAGCAACCTGACCGTACACAGCAACCTGACCGGATACAGCAACCGGTGGGGACGCAGTAACCTGACCGGACTCTGCTACCGGGGGGGACGAAGCAACCTGACCAGACGCAGCTACCTGCGGGGGCGGAGTGTGCAGGACGAAGAGACCTGAGTGGGGCTCTCTGGTGAACGTGGCAAGAACTGCCCCGGTGGAAGAGTCCGTACAGATCGCAGTCCTCCCGTGCGCAGGAAAAGTGACTGTGATCCCCCGGTCCTGAAGGTATCCAACACCCACCAAGTTCCGAGAGAACGAGGGGATGTAGAGACCAGTGAGGAAACCAGAGGGGACAGCTGGGCACGGGAGGGTGGTCGAGCTGCGAGCAACTGCTGGTCCTGAAGTAGGATCAGCCAGGGCAACTGGGACTGGAGCCGAAAGAGGTGTGACAGTGGTGTGGTCGCGGAAGAAGCACTGAGACGCGCCGGAGTCCAGCGTGAAGGAGAGCGACGCAACAGCAGTCGTCACGGCCAGGCTAGTGACTACACAAGCACCTACACTAAAAGCACAAGTACTGACACTAGCAACAGGCAAAGGTCCTAAGCTAGGTACACGTAAGCCAAGAGATCCGTACGTGACAGAATAAACAGCATCCATAGACATATCAAACACAGGGTAACCACTACGAAACAGACCGGGCCAGATCGGGGGAGCCGACTCAGGCCCAAAACGCTCACAGTAAAGGTCGTCGAGGCGGCTGTAGCAGCGCTGTGCAGAGTGGTCAGGACGCCAGCAGGTAGTGCCAGCGCCAGGGCCGGTCAGGATCCGGTACTGGCAGGGGCCGACGTCGCGGCCACCGCGACGAGCCCCCCAGCTGGCTGGGCCGCTGCTGCAGCCAACGCGACCTGAACCACCAGGCCCCCACGGCTGCTGAGGGCGCCACAGCTGCTGAGGGCGCCCCTGCTGCTGCGGAAGCCACTGCTGAAACGGCCGCTGCTGCTGTCCCTGCTGCTGGAGAACCCTAGTGGACTCCATGATAAAAGCTAGCGGGGTGCAGGAGCGGCAGGCTAGGAGCGACAGGTGAAACTAGGCGAGGAACGGCTGGAGTACGGAGCAAACTGAGCTACGAGCGAGGAGCGAGAACGGCTAGAGCGAGAACGGCTGGAGCACAACTGGCTGGAGCTAGAAACGGCGAACTAGGGCTGGCTGGAGGTAGGAACGGCCGGAGCTAGAGACCGTAGGTGCGGCTGTCGGCTGCCGCTAGTAGAGCCACTGGCAGTGGAACGTACGTGCGACAGTAGGGGCTGCAGTACTGACGGCTGCGGGATGCAGGCAACTGTGCAGGTCGTCCGGCAAGCAGGAACGCGGCCGACAGTTGCAGGCCCCCACCCGAAACCCTTTTTTTTTTTTTTTTTTTTAGGGTTTATTTTTTTTATTTATTTATTTGTTTTCTGGCGCTAAAGCGCTCCGGGGCGCGCTGCCTGCAGGGTGTGCTGCCTGCGGGGCGCGCTACCCGCGGGGCGCGCCGCCTGCGGGGCGCGCTACCCGCGGGGCGCGCTGCCCGCGCGGCGCGCTGCCTGCGGGGCTGGGGCGACGGGCCAGGGCGCGGGCTGGGGCGACGGGCTAAAGCGGGCGCCTGGGCGACGGGCTAGGGCGGGCGCCTGGGCGACGGGCTAGGGCGCGGGCCTGGGCGACGGGCTAGGGCGGGCGCCTGGGCGACGGGCTAGGGCGGGCGCCTGGGCGACGGGCTAGGGCGCGGGCCTGGGCGACGGGCTAGGGCGGGCGCCTGGGCGACGGGCTGGGGCGGGCGCCTGGGCGACGGGCTGGGGCGGGCGCCTGGGCGACGGGCTGGGGCGGGCGCCTGGGCGACGGGCTGGTGCGGGCGCCTGGGCGACGGGCTAGGGCGGGCGCCTGGGCGACGGGCTAGGGCGGGCGCCTGGGCGACGGGCTAGGGCGGGCGCCTGGGCGTCGGGCTAGGGCGGGCGCCTGGGCGTCGGGCTAGGGCGGGCGCCTGGGCGACGGGCTAGGGGCGCAGGCTAGGGCGCTGAGGGCTCTAACGCGCGGAGGAGGAGGGCGCTAAGGCGCGGAGATGGCGCGGAGGGCGCGGAGGGCGCGGAGGCTAAGGCGCGGAGGGCGCGGAGGGCGCGGAGGGCGCGGAGGGCGCGGAGGGAGCGAAGGGCGCGGAGGGCGCGGAGGGCGCGGAGGGCGCGGAGGGCGCAAGGGTGCGGAGGGCGCAAGAGTGCGGAGGGCGCTAGGGCGCTAGCTAGGCTAGGCGAGAGGATCGACACCTACTCATGATACCATCTCAAAGTTAGCGAACAACGGAATGTGTGAACTAGGGAAACAAGGGATACAAATAGCAACCCTAAAAGTGTTGTACTCCCTAGAGTGCTACTCACTGTAGCCTAAGAACCTATAATAACATTTGACACAACTTAGGTCATCAACGAAAGCGCCACATTGAACATAACAGCTTGCTAGTGTCTCAAAGTGTCTTTTGATGATCCCTTCCTCAAAAACAGCCTAAACATTCTCTTTGCCATGGAATGGATCCACGAGTATCAGCGAGGTGCTCGTTCTGTCTTTCAATGGGTCCATTTCCACTCCCGTTCAATTGCTTGTTTCAAGATGTCCATCATCAATGCTAAGGATCAAACACATCATCATAACTGAATAAAAGAATAAGCAAATGCTGAATGAATAATAATCAAGTGCAGGTAGTTTCTGTTTTTTTTAAACAACGTAGTGGAGTTTTTCTAGGTCCAAGGCATTTTCTGCCATTTTGGTGCCGATGAGTAACCAAGGATATCAAGCTTCCGGCTAGATTTCCAGCATCACAGTCACCCCTGCGTGCCAATGTGTGTGATACCATGCTCCAACGCATTAGACCTAGCAATTAGCGTACTAGTTTGCACTGCACCGTACCGCTTAGAATTGTTATACCGTGCACATAATATGGGTTTGATTGAGCCCTATTGCTTGCTTTATTTTTAGTGATTCATGAGTTGCCTAGTCATACCCGATATGAAAATCATCTTGCATGAGTGATGTTGTCACTGTAGCTGAGCAGTGTGCAGCGACCAAGCACTTCTCACCGTTATCTCCCTCTCCAATCGCTGCTGATCACACGTCCCAGCGTTGCAACGGGCTGCCAGCAAAGGTTGTGACCAATGCGATGTTTCGTTTCATCGCCTGGCTGTCCAAGAATGCCTTCTCGTACTGGTCAGATCCAGCTCGAGGGACGGTCCGTCAAATGTTTAGTTGCTGGAATAAACTGTTAGCTGTTAGCATCGCGTATTCTCACGTGTTCAATCGAGTCGCGACGACAGCAAGGCTCCCATGTGAAAGACCACGTCCAGCGCTGTGCGCCTCGGGAACTATGTTCCGTTTTTTTAGGCGACTGACAGAACAAAGCATCACTTGGATCGCCACGTAGCAACGATCAAGACCTCTCTGAACCGTACTAAATCAGCGGATACTCAAGGAATTTGGCTCTCTATGGATGAGACGAGAGAGAGTGCTTCAAAATGCGCCTTCAGACCTGGTAGTTCCTCTGGTGCAAGTATTTATTGCCCAGAAGTATCTCCTGTCGCTCATTCCTTCACATCATAGGTCTTCATCGACTCGCTTGCATCACTTCTTGAATTTTGATTTGCTTACGCATACCTTATCAGCTGCCTCAGCCCGGGACCCTTGTTGGTAAATCTCGCATCCTGCGTCTCCTTCGACTCGACAAACCGCCATGGACTCGAGTCGCTTATCACCGACGTCACCGTTAACGCCAGACCGCTCCTGGTCCCATCCTTGCTCTGTAAAAGATTCCTCCCCTTTCGACCTGTCTGCGTCATCCCATTCGCATGAAACGCCATTGCAGAATGAGAACAGCCCCGTCAACCCCGAATCCACCGATTTCGATCATCACGTGTCAAACGCTTTTCATTCTACTTCGTCAGAAAAATCCCAGGAGTTTCGCGCCGCCGCGAAAGCCTCGGCAATCTCAAGGTTATGGGGCGGCGCCGGCGCGGCAGCCACTGCTCTGCCAGCATGCGGCCGGCAGGGATGTGGAGTTGACGGACCGGCAGCTATTAGCCGGCCGTTGACCGGCGACGAGGAGCTGTGGTGGCGCGCAATGCATGGCGGCACTGGCGTCTGTGTTGTGGGGTTGCAAATCTCCGGCCACGTCAGCATCGACGAGGTAAGCATCTGCGTGCTATAGCACGGGCTGACGTGGCTCTCATGTGGCGTCTGTGCTGCGTTTCCGCTCCAGCTTCCCGCGTTCCTCCCGTCATTCCACCATCCCCATTCCGCCCATCATTCCCGCCGTCCCCCATTCCGCCATTCTTAATTCTGTCATTCTTACATCTGCACACTATCCTCCATCCTCACCTCGCAGGTTCGGGCAGCCATCGAAGCTCTGTCTGCCCGGCACCCCGTCCTGTCCGCCCGGATAATCAAGCCGCCCAAGTCCCACCAGCCCGAGCTCCACGTGTGCCGACCTCCCCAACCAATCACCGTGCGCGAATGTGAGACTGCTGACGTGGCAATGGCGGACGAGTCAGATTGTCAGAATGGAATGTTGCATCGTGTGGTCGAAACGGAGCTAAACACGCCCATGGTCGACGGTCGGGATCATCCTGGGGCTACGAATAATAGAGATAAGGGCGAGGCGTCTGTTGACGTGTTCCAGGTCCACGTGTACGCGTCCCATTCGTCTACGCTCGTCGCGCTCCGCTCGCACATCGCCGCGCTGGACGAGCAATCGGCGCCGCCCATCGCGGCGGAATTCCTGGAAGAACTGCGACGCGTGAAGAAGCATCTGAACCGCGACTCGTCATCCTCCCCATCCTCCCCTTCCTCCTCTTCCTCCTCTTCCCCTACCTCCTCTCCTTCCTCCTCTTCCCCATCTCCCTCCTCCTCCTCCCTCTCGTCCTCTGACGATCAGACCGCCGCACCTTCCCTTCCTCCTCCCCTCGCTGCGCTCCTCCCCAAGGCCCTCTCCGCTAAAAGCTCATCCGTTAAAGGCACATTCGCGCAAGCCTTCAACGCCGTGGGTTACGTGCGCAACGCCCTCATTTCCTCGCACCTTCCTTTCGAGCCCGGGCGAGCTGACTCGAGGAAGAATTCGTTTACGACGCGATTTGCTACAGTCACATTCACTAAGGAGGGTAAGCCGCTCTCAATCCCAAACAAACAATTCTTTATGACCAGTATACACATCTGTACCACTTCCCAAAGTCCTCGAACTCACTTGTATTCGTCGCTTTCCCTTCTCTTTCCGACGTTCACCCTCCATTATTGCAAAACGACAGAAACGGCCGCCCTTCTGGCCGCAGCGGAGTCGCACGGGTGCTCCCTGTTCTCCCTGGAGTGCGCAGCAGGGCTCAAAGCTGCCGCCCGGATGAAGCAGCTGGGCGGCAGAACTGAAGTGTTCAGCCTGGGAAGGTGAGATGCAATGACCGAATAAAATCAGCGAATCAGTAACCGAATTAATGAACGTAACTGAAGCAGATTGACAGAACATGAACGAGGGAATCAATGAAGTATGCACTGATTGAGCAGCGGCAATGCGAGTACCAGTCCGATCTGCCTCTTCACCCTCTTCCTTCCTCTTCCTCTATTCCCCCCTTTTCCTCCCACCCTACCCCCTTTTTCCCCACCCTCCCCTCTCCAGTGCCATTGGTTGCCGCACCATTCTCGACCCGCCCCTTCCTCAGACCGCCTTGGGCGAGTACATGTCCATGCTGCCTCTCAAGCAGGAGGTTTCCGAGAAGCTGCCCTTCTGGGACGTTGCCACGTCAATCAGCGCCCATGCTGAGTCAGCACTGCAGCGGCAGCAGCAGTTCACAGACATGCCGGTTCTCGAGCTGCTCTTTTCCACGGTACGTGAGGATTTTGAGGAAAGCAATTTCTGGTCAGTCTTAGGAAAGGATTTGAGATTAAAGACATTGATGAGCTGCTAGGCGAAATCCACATTTTCAAGACACTACCGATCCACTGCACCAGAGAATGATGAGTTGATAGCAGTCGTGTTCGGTTGGTGCGGCTCAGAAATGTAGCAGCATCAGCAATACACCAACATGCCGGTTCTCAAGCTGCTCTTCTCCATGGTAAGCGTTACAACTGCAACAGTCCATGGGTTACAATTGGAAGGATGTACGGGTCACAAGTTACAACTGGAAGAACTCATAAGTCAACTGGAAGCTCAGACATGTCTCATGAAGGGTTGAAGGAGGAGCTTAGACACATACTCACTGGAAGCCACTGTTCTACCATTACGAAGCTTCAGGTTTTCTGGTTTTTATGGACCAGCGTACAAACATTCCATGTCAGCAAGCAACTTGTGATACTGTTACCAACCGATGTTGGCCATCTCAGTTCCTTTGAGCTCTGCTTGCTGCTCTCTTTTCTATTATTTCTTTCCAGGCCATGAAGATGCCGAGCCTCTCCCCAGACCACTCCCTCCGAACCTGCTTCATCACAGCCGGCATGCTCGCACCCCTCAAGGTCAACTGGCAGCTATCCAAACCAGATACCGAAGCTGTTGTGGAGGCTCGGGCCAAGGCAACTCATTTGACAGGCATGGGATCAGAGCCGGTACAACTGGAGCAAGTGCTTGGGCCTGTCGTGTCTGCCCATGGGGTCGGCCCTGCCATTGCCATTCCGGATACTCTCTCGGTGAGTTACACATTCATTCACCCAAGATTCGTTTTTCGTCTGATACCGTACTTGTCCAAACATCATTCAAAATTTATGCATTATGTACCGTAGATGTGTTTAACATGTAGCCATCATATTCTCCCAAAATGAATCCCGACCTTGCAGGACGGCATTCTCCGGCTGAGCTTCGTGTTCGTCACACCTCTCTTCACTCGCGAGCGCATGACGACATTCGCGACACTCACACGTGGTTTCATGCTAGAAGCTGCCCGCTTGTGACTTCATACGTGATGGGGCCCTTAGGTTGAGTTTCGTGTTTGTCACACCTCTCTTCACTCGCGACTCTCACGCGCTACTTCATGCTTGATGATGCCTGGATAACAACCTTCAACAAGTCAATCACACTGCTGTACAGTTAGCGTGTATCTTCCAAGTTCAGTTGCTATGTCTGGCAAACTAGCCATGGGCTTTGTAGAATAAGGTGTATACAAGCTTGGTGCCTTGTCTGCAATTTCTTTCCATTTAACCTCATCACAGAGTGCAAGATGCAGGATAGTAATACAGCAAAATACACCACTCCGAGCAGCTAGGAGTAAGCCTCAACCACAAGATTCCTAGTATCTTAGGAGGCCCTCTAAGCAGCCGCTCCCGACGACCTTCCTTCATAATACCGGTAGTTCAACCTGGAGTCCTGGGGGTGCCTGGGTGACTGGCAAAGGGAGAAGGAAGGAACCCCTACCCCTGCTGTTACAGCTTTGCAGTGCCTTGCAATTCAACCTGGTCCCCCTACCCCTGCTGTTACAGCTTTGCAGTGCCTTGCAATTCAACCTGGTCCCCCTACCCCTGCTGTTACAGCTTTGCAGTGCCTTGCAATTCAACCTGGTCCCCTACCCCTGCTGTTACAGCTTTGCAGTGCCTTGCAATTCAACCTGGTCCCCCTACCCCTGCTGTTACAGCTTTGCAGTGCCTTGCAATTCAACCTGGTCCCCCTACCCCTGCTGTTACAGCTTTGCAGTGCCTTGCAATTCAGCCTGGTCCCCCTACCCCTGCTGCTACAGTTGTGCAGTGCCTCGCAATTCAACCTGGTCCCCCTACCCCTGCTGTTACAACTCTGAAGTGCCTCGAGATTCAACCTGGAGTCCTGGGGGTTCCCGGGTGACTGGCATAGGGAGAAGCACCCCCTCCCCCTGCTGCTACAGCACTGGGATGGTTCGGATAACCCTGGTAGTTGGGTGGTCTAGGGTATGATGAATGGTGAGGGTACCAAGGTGGTTGATATGATTGATGGTGTTGTGGATGGTAAGGCGGTTGTTGCGAGGGATGGGGCATGTGGGAGGGGTAATGCGGCATGGAGGAGGGGTGGGAGGGCGTGGATGGGTGGTGATGGTGATTCCGGGGCATGTAGGCAGAAGGATGCATGGATGGGGATACAGGGTGGGGGGAATAAGGACCCCATGGGGAAGGGGGATTGGACTGCAGGTGAGATGGGTTGGAAGGGTGGGGTGCATAGGAAGGATAGGAGTGAGGAGGGTGAGAGGGGTGAGACGGTTGGGAGGGGTAAGAGGGAGTGCGAGGGGAATTCAGATGGGAGGGAACAGACGGGCCTCCCTGTTGGTATGGGTCGGATCTGAGGTGTGAGGGATGGGAAGGGTGTGCGGGGAACGATGAGTGCGGTGAAGATGGGTGCGAAGGTGTGGAAGGCCGTGAGGGCGTCTCAGGCCGTGAATACACACCCTGCCCGGGGTCACCCCCTCGTGAATACCCGTTAACATTTCCTTGCGGATACCCCTGATAATACTCCTGGGGATACCCTTGAGAATGCCCTTGGGAATGCCCTTGGGAATGTCCTTGGGAATGCCCTTGGGAATACCCTTGGGAATACCCTTGAGAATACCCTTGGGTGTGCCCTTGGGAATTGTTTCGTGGGTATCTTTCCACAGGCCGGTCTTGGTCGGGGCTGTTTGGATGAGGGCTGTTTGGATGAGGGCTGTTTGGATGAGGGCTGTTTGGATGAGGGCTGTTTGGATGAGGGCTGTTTGGCCGACCTGTGAGGCGATCACTGTGAAAGGAGCCGCCACTGTCACTCCGGATAGTTCTACCTCCCCTCCCTCCCTTCTCTCCTCGCCCAATCCCCCGGGCCCGGCCCTCCCCTGCCCGTCCCAGCCAGCTTCTCGGAATCTTCTCCTTCTTTTCCTCCCCCATGTGTTGAAGCTCTGGAGGCTGTGTCTCTGCAAAGACCTCGGTGGGCTTTAAGCTGCCGAAGAGGCTGAGAGACTTGGTGCTGGAAGAGGGGTTGTTGGATGTGTGGAGGAGAGACGGCGGCTTGAAGAATGGCCGATACGGGGATTCGACGTCAGGGACGTATTTGTCGATCTGGGAAAGGGGGAGTGGAGTGCGGTGGGGAGGGGTGGAGACAGGCGAGGAGAAAAGCAGGTTGTGGTTGCTTTTGGTGAAGAGATGAAGGAGAAGGAAGAAGGCAAGAGCGGCACGGGGAAGGATGAGGGAGGCTGGGAAATTGGAGAAGAGATTGAACTGCCTCCATGTCAGGGCGACTCAAAACACTTAGGCGACAGCCGGAGTCCCAAACAGCCCAAAACTGCCTCAACCTTCCTAACTTTGGTTGGGCGTGACCCAGTTGATACCGACTCTCCTCGCAAATTGTTGGGACGATTTTCGCCAAGCGAAATTACTGTTCTCGCGAGGACGATAGCAGTGACAACTTCGCAAACAAAATTGCAGCCCGTCCGAAACAATCTGCGAACCAATTCGGACGTAGCATTCCAGATCTGGTTACACTCGCGAGTTTATAATACTTTGCGACCCGCTACCACTGATTTCGACACCACCCTGGCTCGCGAGCCAGTCACTTTTCTTGCCCCTATCAACCTTCCTAACTTCGAAACTCTTGGACGTGTGTTTTGAGACGTCTCATTAATCGTCGCCAAATTAACGCAACGAACGCCAACGAGCGTTACCGAACGCAAAGGCGTTACCTTGAGCTTCTCCGGAGGTTCCCTCGCGGCGATCAGCACGCCAACGACGAAGGAGCACGAGCACGCGAGGATTCCCAACCCGCATATTAACGACTGGCACGAGGTCGCTGTGGCCATTGGCGAAGCTAAGAAAACCAGTAGGCGGAACGACGTTTACTTCGCTTTACAAGAGATGGACGATTTAGGAGAGAGTATAAACTTGAAATACAATAAAAAAAGTTAAATAAATGGCAGGTGGCAGGTGGCAGGTGGCTTTAACGATTATTTATCTATGTATGTACACGATTGCGCGGCAACCGAGACTTTGCTGCACGTGAGGACAACTGGAGTGAGCGATATCGCCGAGTGACTCGACGAGCCGCGAGCGCCGGGATTACCGCAAGCAGGGCCAGATACAAGCTGAGAGTCAGCAGGCCCGTAGAGCAGGAGCTGGATACAGTACTAGCGTTTGGTGGATTCGGGAAGGAACGTTGATGGTAACATATGCGAACATCAGTCGAAGCTCATGCGAAGACCTTGTTGGTGGCTGGTTTCCCTGGCTCGCGAAGAACAGAACTTGATGCATCACGTACGCGATAGAGGGCTCGAGCTGAAAGTCTGAACCGTCAGATTGAGGTACAAATATCCAATTCGCCACATAACAATGTTCAAGACAATAATGTAAAGATGGGTGTCAGAACACATATAACAACTCATTTTCATCCAGTCCATAACCCAAGGACCCGTTGTGTAATATCATCAAAAGATTTAACGTCCTGTTTCCACAACCTGCGCAGAGACAGAAATCGCACAACACAACATGAACAATCAGCAAATTTCACACGCACTTTCCCATGCCTAATGTTTCACTTTCCCCCATGTCTCACCATGCATGCATCTCAGCTTCCATGGACCCTTTCAAGTCATTCACTGCATCATCTCCCACACGCACAACTCGTCTTGGAAAACTCCATACAACATCCACGCAGGTCGCATTCTCTACCGTCAATCAACTGTCTCACACGTCAAACACATCTCATCATGCATGCCGCCAGCAGCCATTTCATGGCCCTTTTCAAGTTAATTAGTGCATCTTCTCCCACAGGCACAACTAGCCGAGGAAAACTCCATACAGGATAAATGCAGGTCAAATTCTCTCATACAAAAAACGTGTAGACCAAATTCTATACAAGTCTCACTGTCATCACGGCTCACCATGCATGCAGGCCTGCATCGATGGCCCCTTTTAAGTCGTTCACTGCATCGTCCCCCACATGCACCACTCGACTGGGAGACGGCACGCCGAGTTGCTCTGTGGGTAGGTGCAGACAGGAAGTGGGGGGAAAGGAGATAGGGGGGCGAAAAAGGGGAGGAGGAGGGGAAGTCCATTGGGGTGTGCCTCAAAATAACTCGTTGCATCGTCCACCACATGCACCATTCAACTGGGAAGTTGGAAGGGGAGGGAACGGCTGGGGTCAGGGCTGACGGTAGATACAAGGGTTGAGAGTTGCTGGAAAACAAAACTCAGTCGGGAAGACAGCTCAAATATCAAGGTGTGGTCGGTTTTTGTTCCTCAGACCCACAGCTCTGGAAGAACATCACTATATTTCGTTTCTCCCACCCTCTTAGTAGTCAAGAGCAAGAGCTGTTTACACAGAGCATATGCAAACATCTCCAGTGCTGTACTGTTCTGTTATTCTAAATTCATTATTCTATTTGTGCGGTTGGTTGTTCCTGTGCCTTTTTAACGTCTTCCTTTTCCCGATCTTGACCGTGCATCGACAAACGATTTTTGAGGCACCTCAAAACTCCCTCCCTCCACCAAGTGGAAAGAATGAGCTGTTTACCGAGGGCAATGGCGAATATCTCTGGTGATGGCTTCTCGTATCTAACTTCAGCCGATACGACGATTGCATCAAACCTGTGCGGGAAAAGGCAAGGCAGGGAAAAAGAAAGAAAAAGAAAAGTAAGGAAAAGAAAAGAAAGAAAGAAAGAAAGAAAGAAAGAAAGAAAGAAAGAAGAAGAAGAAAAAAAAAGAGAGACAGACGAAAAGAAGAAAGAAAGAAAGAAAGGAAGAAAGAAAAAAACTGGAAAATGAAGTAGAAGAATACCTCAAACAAGTTTTTTCCAGCATCAAGTAACACCCCAATAACTGCGAAGTAGAAACTTGCAAAGATCCGATTCAATGCAACTTGCCAAGAAGGAAGGAGCGACTCACAGAGAGTCGACTTGAAGGTCCCGCAGAATCGGGCGCAGTCTGGAGTCAAAGTTGGAGACAATCGCCAGGCGGACTGGAGGGGAAGACAGGGAGAAACGAAGTGAGGAAGCAGCTATTCAGCGTCACAGTGCAAGAAATACGGGAGCGTCTTTTGAGGGGCCTCAAACACGAGTATGTTGTTATAGTCACAATAGGCTTGAATGTGCCTAAAACGAAAGATAGAGAGCACAGACGGATTTCTGCACAGCGGCTTCAAACGTTGATAGCGTTTTGCTCACAGCTGCAAATGACCTGATTCAAATTGGATCTGGAGCGTCTTCACGTCGTCTACAATTAGCAATTTAGATTGCACGATTTGATAAAGAATTGACGACACAGCGTCGGTTTGAACGAACGGTACTATGGCAGCCACTATAGTCTTAGAACACAAGATAGGAAGAGTTACGAGTTGGGAATGACTCCCAGCTCCTACAAACCCCAAGAGCCGAGGTACAGTGATGTGGAACAGTGCCACACTGTCCCCAACCACGAAGGGTCTCGAAACTACCCTTCACTAGGGCCTACACCAAGTGAAATATTACACTACACAAAGTAATGTAAATATCTTCAATATCTTGAGGTGTACCCTTTTTGGCGAGCTTCGAAATCACTTGAGGCTTGACACCAAGGCTCGGGCTCTTCATCACAAACTCATCCTTGAATTCTTGATGGGTCTGCTGCACACACCTGCGACACGCCGAACGTTCGACACAGGACAAAATAGAAACCGCGCACGACAAAATAGAAACCGCGCGCGAGACACAAACGACCGCGTAACACGCGTCTAGCGATAACTCGCTATTGACTCGACACACACACTCGACATCATGACTCAACATTCACACACAATTATAAGCATGAAATATATATTATCCCATGCCCTCATACCATTCCATACACACACACATTCACGCACACGGACAACAAGCCGAGTGCAAACCGTAGGGTTGCACCAACAAACTCCCCCTCGGATTGTTGGCCTTAGGATATGTTGCTCTCTCAGTTCAGAGCCATCCCAGCCAGCTTGCAACACTTCCAATGCTGCTGCTCCACCAGCCTCTTGGTCATCATGTCAACCGGCTGCCCCGTGGTCTTCACGTAGCGCAACTCAACTTCACCCGCGGTTACCATGCTCCTCGTCCAATGCCACTTCACCCTCATGTGCTTCGTGAGTCCATGCAACACAGGGTTCTTAGCAAGAGCAATGGCACCCTGGCTGTCACAGTACAGTGGGGTAGGTCCTTGCTGCTCCTCCCCCAATTCAGCCAACAAACGCCGCTGCCACACAATCTCCCGTACGGCACGGAAGAGTGCCATGTACTCGGACTCCACCGAGCTCAAAGCTTGGTCAACCTGCTTCTTGCTCTCCCAAGCAGTTGGGCCTCCACCAACACAGCATATGAAGCCTCCCACACTTGTCATGTCCTCTGGTTCTGATGCATATGAAGCATCCGAGTAGGCGGTGAGGAACAAACGCCCGGGTTCAACACCATCCGCGCCCTTTTGGCGCCTTTGTGCCGCCGCCGAGTATTGCAGCCCAACGGTCGGTGTTTGGCCAAGATACTTGGCCACCCTCATTCCAGCTGCTACCTGCTCCTCATTAGGGCATTGCACAACCCTAGCCAGCTGCCCGGTAGCAAACGCGACGTCCGGTCGGGTGTTTACCGCCGCATACATGAGGCTGCCCACCAACGAGTGAAATCGGCGCCTCTCCTCTTCACCAACGCTCTCCTCCTCTGGTCCCTTCACACACTTGAACCCAGAGGGAAAGGGTGTAGCCACATGGCCTTCACTCTGCCCAAAGTTGGCAGCCAATGCCTCCAGGTACTTTCGTTGATGCACCCGCATGCACCGCTTCTCCACATCTCGTTCGATGTGGAGCCCAAGGTAGAAGCTCACGTCACCAAGGGCCTTGCACTTGAACTTGTCTTGAAGCTTCAGCATCACCTCCTTCACAAGGTCAGAAGAGGGTGAGAAAATGAGGATGTCATCCACATAAACCACCATGAAACTCCTCTGCTCCCCCTCGCCAAGCATGAACAAGGAGTGATCGGCCGTTGAGGGAGTGAAGCCGATCCCCTCCAACACTTCGCGCAGCTTCATGTACCATTGCCTAGGGGCCTGCTTCAGCCCATAGAGGGCCTTCTTCAGCTTCCACACTCTGCCACTACCATCATCAAACCCCTCTGGCTGCGCCATAAAAATCTCCTCCTCAAGGATGCCGTTAAGGAATGCCGTTACGATGTCCATTTGCTTTACTACCCATCCTTTGATGGCGGCTCCCGCGAATAGGGTTCGCAGCGTCGTCGGCTTCACCACAGGGGCAAACAGCTCCTTGAAGTCCACCTTCTCCTTCTTCTGGTACCCCTTGGCTACAAGCCTAGACTTGTAGCGCTCGATCTTGCCGTCGGCATCCGACTTGATTTTGAAGAGCCACTTGGACGTTATCGCCGTACGCCCCTCCGGTAGCTCCACCAATTCAAACGTGTCATTCTCCTCGATGCTCTTCAGCTCACTCTCCATGGCCTTCTTCCACTCCTCAGCATCACTACTCTCCAAAGCCTCCTTGAGAGTTGCTGGTTCTCCCGGCATCTCCACCGGAGAGAAGAACGCGAAGGCACACTCCTCGTAGTCACTCTCCTCGTCGTCTCCGACCATCATTGCCGCTCCGGCCAGGGCTGTCTTGCCCTGCTTTCCCGGTGCATCATAGGTCAGCCTATTAGGTGGTTGAACTCTCCTCTTCCCCTTTCCTTCCTCCTCAGCTGCAGGGACTTGAAGGCCTTGGCGTTGCTGCGGTGTGGCTCGAATCCGTGGAGCACTCGTAGTACGGGAAGGGAGTGACGGTGCACGCTCGCTCACTTGCTGCACCTCCTCCTCTTCTTCCTCTGCATCATTGGCCTCCTCTCCCCCATTCACAAGGGAGGATTGCCTTGTGGTTGTGCTGCCGCTGCTCAGCTCCAAAGGCAGCTCCACATGCTCCAAACCGGAACTCTTCACCTCCCCAAACCGCACGCCTATCTTCGCCTCATTCTCCGCCTTCCAATCCTTGTACATGAAGTTCTCCATGAACTTGCAGTCCCTGCTCACCAAGAACTTCTTGGTGAATGGGTCCCAAAGAAGCCATCCCTTGCTGTTTTGAGCCATGCCCAAGTGCACGGCCCACACCGCCTTGGCACCAAGCTTGTTGTGCCGAAGATGCTTAGGCACGAGCGCCATGCACATGCACCCGAACACCCGAAGCATATCCACCTTTGGCTTCCTTCCTAGCCACTCCACATAGGGCACCCATTTGTCTGCTCCCACATGAGTCAAGGCTCTGTTCTTGGCCACACACGCGCTCCGCACCGCATCAGGCCAGAAATAGTCGGGTAGCCCGGCTTCAATGAGCAACCCGCGTGCCGCCTCCGTGATTGTGCGGTTCGCTCGCTCGGCGATGCCGTTCATTGCAGGGGAGTATGGCATGGTGAGGGAGTGTCGAATACCATTCTTCTTCAGCCACAACCCAAACTCCTTGCTCAGGAACTCTCCCCCTCGATCGGTGCGGATTGACTTGACTAGACGGTCTTGTTGCCGCTCCACCATCGGGAACCAATCCGTCTTCAACGTTTCAGCCACGTCGCTCTTCTTGGCCAGCACGTACACCCAAGTCATGCGGGTGTAGACGTCGACAATGGTGAGAAAATACTCAGCTCCAGCAGCTCCAAGCTTCAGGGGGCCCACCACGTCCATCACCACCTCATCAAGCGGTGCCTTTGCCGTTGCCTCCGAACTAGGGAACGGAAACCGGGTGAACTTGGCTTGAATGCACGTCGGGCAGCCAAGCACCTCATCGGACTCCCCCTTCACACGTATGCCAGCAACCATCTCATTCTTCACTAGCTGCTGCAAGATGGGCAGGGCCACATGCCCCATGCGCCGATGCAAGGTGAGCCAATCACACTCCCCCGTAGCCGAAGTTGGATTGGAGAATGCCGCGCTCGCAATAGCGCCCCACATACTCTCTCCGTAGTCCTCCTCCGCTGCTGCCTCTGGGTTCTCCTCACCCTTTTGCTGCTCCTTGGTTGCTGCACCACTCTCCTTAGGTTCACTGAACTTGTTGGTCCCTCCAGGTTTGCTCTTCTTGAGCTCATTCTCCTTAGCGCGACCGTTCGCGCCATCGTCACTACCGACCGCTCTATCCTTGGTGCTGATGCTTGCTGCCACTTGCCTCTCCTTAGGCATAGGGACCACTGGGATCTGCCACATCTCGTTATAGACATCCCTCTCCTCATGAAGGTCCCAAAGAATTCGATCGCCAAGCCTTGCGGTGTAGGTCTTGGCTCCCTTCGAGTTCGTGTCCATGCCGGCCTTTGCCAACCGCCGCACGGAAATCAGGTTTGCAGCAAGGCTGGGCACCCAAAGCACGTTCTTGAGGCCCACCATCTTCTCATCAGCACCCTTGAACATGGCCTTGCCCATGCCTTTCACCTCTGCTCGCTGCCCCAAAGCCGATGTGACATGCTTCACCGGTGACGGCTCGAGTTCGGTGAGCAAGTCCGGGCGAGGTGTCATGCTATAGGTAGCGCCACTATCAATCACCCAATAGTCCAGGGGGTGTAGGGTCACCTTCCCCACAGCTGCTGGCTCCTCAAAGCCTTCATCCTTCTCTGGACCAGCCGGTACTTGCGTCGACACGAAGTAGAATAGACCCGGGTATCGATCGTCGCTCGGGTCCTTGTCGTTGTCTCCGCTCTTCATGTTTGCAGCTCCGCCACCGCGACCGCCACGGCCTCCACGGCCTCGTCCTCTCCCTCCTCCTGCTCCTCTACCCTCTTGGCCTTGAGCAGGGGTCCAACCATCAGGGAGTTTGTAGCAGTCGCGCCACATGTGTCCGCTCTTGTGGCAATAGTGACACTCGCCGTCGAATCGGCCGCGACCGCGTCCGTAGCTCTTGTCGTCGCTGCCGTAACCGCCACTCCTGCGGCCTCCGCCGAAGTTGCTGCCACCAAACCTTCCTCCCCCTCGTCCTCTGCCTCTTCCTCGACCATATCCACGGCCGATGCTCGCTGCCCCAGCGCCATCCGTACTCGCCAACTCACGGCGGCGGAAATCCTCTTGAAGGATAGCTCGCTTCACGTCTTCAAGCGAGAGGCGGGGCAAGTCGCGATTAAGGTTGATGATGAGCGAGGACCATGACTCTGGGAGTAAGGCCAGCAACTTGGTCTTCTTTTGGAGCTCACTGTAGTTCAAATCAGCTCCCTCAAGCCGCGTCAACAAGTCGAAGAATTTCTGCACCCCTTCTTCAACCGCTTCGTCTTCTTCAATTCGTAGTGCCGCAATTTGCCGTTCCAACACCACCGCTACCGCCGCTGTTGCAGGAGCATGTACACCCTTGAGAGCAGCCCATGCCTTTGGTCCTTTCTCTGGTTCACGCTGGAATGGCTTGATGTGACGGATCTGACTGCTCCCCAACGCTTGCCCAAGTAAGAGATAGCCTTGTGCGCTCTTCCGCACTTACGGGCTCTTCTCCGGGTCGTTCTCGGAGCGCTTCTCCGTTCCTTCCATCACCTCCAGCAGGTCATAGTGGTCAAAGATGTTCTCCATCTTGAAGGACCATTCAGCAAAGTTGTCACCGTTGAACTTGTCAAGCCCAAACACCCTAGGCTCATCCCTAGGTGGGCCAAGACTTGGTTGCATGGGCGCCATGGCTGAATCACGGGGTTGGCCTTGAGCTTGAGCTTCTCCACTGCCATCAGCACCTCTGCCACCCCTTTCCTCAGGTCCAGACATTGTCGAAACTGCTCCAAGGGGCTCTGATACCACTTGTTATAGTCACAATAGGCTTGAATGTGCCTAAAACGAAAGATAGAGAGCACAGACGGATTTCTGCACAGCGGCTTCAAACGTTGATAGCGTTTTGCTCACAGCTGCAAATGACCTGATTCAAATTGGATCTGGAGCGTCTTCACGTCGTCTACAATTAGCAATTTAGATTGCACGATTTGATAAAGAATTGACGACACAGCGTCGGTTTGAACGAACGGTATTATGGCAGCCACTATAGTCTTAGAACACAAGATAGGAAGAGTTACGAGTTGGGAATGACTCCCAGCTCCTACAAACCCCAAGAGCCGAGGTACAGTGATGTGGAACAGTGCCACACTGTCCCCAACCACGAAGGGTCTCGAAACTACCCTTCACTAGGGCCTACACCAAGTGAAATGTTACACTACACAAAGTAATGTAAATATCTTCAATATCTTGAGGTGTACCCTTTTTGGCGAGCTTCGAAATCACTTGAGGCTTGACACCAAGGCTCGGGCTCTTCATCACAAACTCATCCTTGAGTTCTTGATGGGTCTGCTGCACACACCTGCGACACGCCGAACGTTCGACACAGGACAAAATAGAAACCGCGCACGACAAAATAGAAACCGCGCGCGAGACACAAACGACCGCGTAACACGCGTCTAGCGATAACTCGCTATTGACTCGACACACACACTCGACATCATGACTCAACATTCACACACAATTATAAGCATGAATTATATATTATCCCATGCCCTCATACCATTCCATACACACACACATTCACGCACACGGACAACAAGCCGAGTGCAAACTGTAGGGTTGCACCAACATATGTGAGGGACTGGACTGAAAACAATCGCCATACGGACTGGACATCAGCGAAGCATGTAACAACTGCACCTCCAAATTCCAATACCATCCTAGGCGCGTCAAACAAAGGGTTTGGTTGCCATCGGCTCGTCTCAGACTCTCAGTCGCGGAAAAACTTTCAAACCACCTCAGCTCACCATTGGCTTGCTTGAGTCTCATCAGAGCATTCACTGCACCGTCTGCCACCCTCCATACTAACCTCTGAGGCACCTCACACACACGTCGCCTTAACAAGCCACCTCACAGCCTTGGCTCCTCTCACCGTTGACTTGCTTGAGTCTCAACAGAGCATCCACTGCACCCTCTGCCACCCTCCATGCCGAAGCCTTCTCATAGTGCTGCCAGGGCAGGAGGATCAGTTCAGAAGCAGGGACGAGAGTGAGTGAGGGAGTGAGTGAGTGAGTGAGTGAGTGAGGGAGTGAGTGAGTGAGTGAGGGAGTGAGTGAGTGAGTGAGTGAGTGAGTGAGTGAGTGAGTGAGTGAGTCATTCAGTGAGTGGGCTCGCGTGTCATCTGCTCCCCTGCACCTTCTGCCACCCTCCATGCAGACACCTCCTTATAGTGCTGCCGGGACAGGCGGGGTGGGTTGCCATGGGGTGGGGAGAGAAACAGGAAGGAGAATGAGTGAGTGAGAGAGTTGGCTCACACGTAGCCTGCTCCACCGCACCATCTGCACTATCTTGTACTGCTGGGAGAGCAAGGGAAGGTTCAAAAGGGGCGGGATGGCCAACATTGGGGGAAGGAGGGGGTATATGAGGACTCAACAGTATCGTTCAATCCTGGTTGCTGTTTGAGTGTTGAATCGCCTCAGCAGTCAATTTTAATCGGATTTTTCGTGTTACCACCCATCTACCCACCTGGTAAAGGTCTTCGAAAAGGTCCTGATTGTCTGAACCTGTTGCCATGGCCACTGCATGCCGCCAAAACGGCCGCCCGTCTCCCTGGACGCAAGGGGAAAGGCAGGGGAGAATGAGGGAACTGAGTAGGTAGGTAGGTAGGTAGGTGGGGGGTGGAGGGAGGGAGGGATGGAGGGAGGGAGGGAGGGAGGGAGGGAGGGAGGGAGGGAGGGAGGGGTAATAGAGATAACCAGCCAAAGGGAGCGGCGAGGGAAGAAACGGAGGACAATGAGGCAAGGCCGATCAAAGCAGATCATGACAAGATATTAAGCAAACCGATATGCTTGCAGCGATATTTACGACCACGAGACTTATCGACATGATGGCACTTGAAATGACGGTACTTTTTATCATAATGCTCAAAGCGCGATACTCAGAAACGTGCCTCGTATCTCAAACCGTGAGGCCATGGCTCCGCGAAAGCTCGTCTGAATCCCTTCTTGATTTCGTACGCCGATACAGTCACACCTGCGCACATGACGCGCAACTTGAGGTCCTGTAAGTTCAGTCTCCGCAATCTTAGCGTCAATCTAGAGAAATATGCTAAAAACGAAACGCGAATCTCTCTTGTAACGAACCGTATTTCCCGGCGTATGAGGCGTACGTGTCTTGAACGGGCTCGGATGTTTTCAGCAACGTCCCTCCGACGTCTACAAGCACTGCATCGTATAACGGAGCGGACTGTATCGAAGCAGCACCTAATGCCTTGGCTGATGCTTCTCTAGACGCAGCCGATGCTACTACGGACGACGGAGGTGCTGACGCAGAACGTGATCCTAACGAATGTGACCGAAACAAGCGCTCCTGTAACGAGAGCGATGAGGGAGACTCTAAAGATCTGCGTGAACACTCGAAAGGAGCACTGGAGTGACGCGATGGCTGACTGAAACTTTTCTTCTCAGCTACGCGTGCCAATGTCGGTAATCTCCTCAAGGGAGCGAGACGCGATGAGCCGGCAGCAGGAAAGAGGCAGGCGGCGCGAACCGTGCAATGCAGAGACGCCATAGATCGTACTCAGTGCCCGTGCTTGTGCTCGCGTCTCGTACGGCATGCGGCGATCGGATTTTTTGGGGTGAAGTATATAATATGCTTGGTTCTGTGTATTGAAAGAATATTTGATTTCATCTTGCTTTTACTTGAGTACTTCGGTACAATTCTAAGATGGGTATGATGTGTAATGAATGGTGCACCAAAAATGCTGTTAGGGGGTACAGCTGGCGAACCATCGCACGGTGGTGTGCGACGAAACTCGAATGACAAGACAAGTCGATTCGCATAAAAAGTCTGACCTGCCAGGCGAGATTCACGAATCACACAGCTCGGAACGCGTTACTCTGCACACAGTTTCATACGTCGGCACTGCTTTGATCGATTTTGCCGTTAGCTCTGCTAGACTGGCACCTTCGATTTTCGTCTGCGACTAGTGATAATGCCGATAAGCTACTCCTCCTGCTTTCTCTCTGCAACCGAAGAATAGAGTCGCATTTAGTCGTACGGAGTCGCGTTTTAGTCGCATATATAATGCAGCCAGGTCTTGTCGTGAGATTTTCCTCAAGTCGCAGATCCCCACTGCTGAACCTGCTTGGGAACGGCTAACAGAAGGAAGCCGCGACGAACGAGAACGCGTACCGCGTTGTGCCATCCAATGTGATTCGTGAACGACACATTGCATCTCGTCCTCCTCCGCAATAATTTTGTTCCTGCGAAGCACTCTAGTTAAGAACCACCCGACTTATGGACCCCTCGCCAAGCCGTCGCACGCATCAGATTCAGAGTCATTTCGTCTCTTCGCAAACTCGTTCGAGCCAATCCCATTTCGCACATAGCGTTCCAATAATTCAAGTAATACTCAAGCAGCCCACATCGCGCACCTATAATTGTAGACTTGGATTCTATACGATGGCGGGGCGGCTGGCATGCTTGCATCATAAATTAAGCCTAGGCCTAGCCCACCAAAGTCCTTATCCAGTGCAAAGCTTGTAGTAAATCCTCCCAGCTTGCAAGCTCCTCCTTTGCGCCACGGTTGCTCCTCTTCGTTTGCATCTTCACCACTTCGGGACCCCCACCCCCATCATCATGGGGTCGATGCGCGCCTCTCCTGCCGGCCTCCTGCTGCTCGCCCTTGCCCTAATCTGTGGTCAGTTTTTTTCCGCTCTCATTGCTGCAAAATCCTCGACAGCCCTTGCTTTGGTTTGTGAACACTCAGATTCATGCCTTGCTCCCTGTTCCCCTCCTTCGCGCACCCTTCTATCTTCCACCTCTTCTGTACTTCAACTTCATGCTCTCTCCTATTCTCTTCTCTTCTTCTCTCTTGTTCCCTTTAATTCTTCTTCCTACCTCGTCTATATTTTCCTACTCTGTTCTCTCCTCTCGCATATCTGATGTCTCTTCTCGTCCCCGCACTTCCTCTCCCTTGTCCTCTACAGCAGTTCCGATGATGACGGCAGCATATGGCGACGGCACGGTGAAACGTATGGCTCACAGCATGGCACGCCGTAGCCTGACTGCTGTGTATGGAGACGAAACAGCACCACCAGCAACTGCAGGTGTGGAACTAAAGATTTAGAAGGGCGTAATTCTTCTAAGTACCTAACAAACAAGGGCGTTATTTTGGTGAACGCCAATCTTTTGGGGTGTTATAGAAGGGTGTGAATCTGATGCTGCGTGATTCTAAGCAGCAATGCTTTCCTATGCAACAAGTCCTTTTCCTTCATTGCGTTTACAATCGTATTGACATGCCGTCCACATGTTTTTTCCCTAAACGATGTTATGAGGTCATACTGATGTCCTTATGACGACTTTAGGCGCCACCTGTGAGGTGGCATTTCCATATCTTTGTGTGGTTGCCCCTTTCTCTTCGCCTGTGCTGCAGACGATTCTGCCTGTGCAGCGTTGGGGTGTGAGCCTGGTGGCACCTGTGAGGTTGATGAAAACGGAGAGCGCTACTGCAAGTGGGGTGAGTGAGTGATTATAGCATTCCTGCCTGTGGGATGAGTGAGTATAGCATTCCTGCCTGTGGGATGAGTGAGTGATTATAGCATTCCTGCCTGTGGGATGAGTGAGTGATTGTAGCATTCCTGCCTGTGGGATGAGTGAGTACAGCATTCTTGCCTGTGGGGTGGGGTGAGTACATTCCTGCTCTCACCTCGGCACATGCATTTCTCTGTCAAGTTTCCATCAATGTCATCCTGTGCATTGCCAGGTGAGTGAGAGTGCTTCTGTTGGCATACCTCCTTCCTCTCATTCCACCAGCGCCAGAATTCCTCCCCAGCAATTGCACTGACATACCGCACCGCACCCATGCCCACCCCTCACACATGATGATTTCACTGCCTCTCTGCAATCGCTTCTCCCTCTCCCTTGCGTCTCCCCTGCTTCCTGCCTTCCTCACCCTCACCCTGTGGCGCCTGCCCCTCCCGAGCCTCGATCCCCCATAAGCATTGCACTGACATACCGCACTTCACCCATCCCCACCCCTCGGACTCACTCTGTGGCGCCTCCCCCACTTGATCCGTCTGCAAGACCGTGCCAGGGACCAGATTCAGTGAGCTGCAGGCGCCTTACTAGCATTGCTCTCACATACCGCACTGCATCCATCCCCACCCGCAGACTCAACCCTGTGGCGCCTGCCCCACTGGAGCCACCTGCAAGACCGTGCCTTCATTTCGTAACAATTCGGTGCAGGTGCCTTACTGCGAGTGCCCTGATGGCTACGGGATGACTCCCACCGAATGTGTCCTGGGTGAGCTTGCTCAATGCATGCTCCCTCTGCTCTCTGCTCTCTGCTCTCTGCTCTATGCTCTCTGCTCTTTGCTCTCTGCTCTCTACTCCCACTTGCTCTGCTCTTCATCACCCTGATGGCTATGGGATGACCGCCACTGGATGTGTCCCGGGTGAGCTTATCCCGCACCCACTCTCTCCTCTCTCCATTCGCCCCACTCTCCCTTCCTCACTCGTCACACTCGTCCCTCCTCACTCGCCCCACTCTTATCTCTCCACTAGCTGCACTCCCTCCTCCCCACTCACCACCCTCTGTCCTCCCTGCACTTGCCCCACTCACTCCTTCCTTTTGCCATTCTTTCGCAGGAGGAAGCACCACAGTCAGTTCATTCAGTCTCACACTTATCGCAAACCCAGCAGCCAAGGACAATACCTCCCGGCCCTACACCCTCCGCCTGAACCCGACTGGCTGCACCCAGTACCCAGCTGCAGTGGCTGGAAAGTCCACTTTTTTCTATGCTGTTGTCAACATCGGTAGCACTCTGAATTGCCCGGGCTACTACACTTACAACACGGACAACTGTGAAGGGGGAGTGGCTGGTGGGACTGTCAGACAAGTTGCTCCGCTTCATGCATATTTCGTGGCGTAAGTGATTGACTTGTCTTTCTCAATCATTATCTTGCCTGCACTGTCTTCCCGCTTCCCTTTCTGCTCCAGTGCTCCAATCATCAAAGGCAGAATCTCTGAATTCTTCTTCCCTACTTGTCATCCTCTTGTTTGTACCATTCACCAGTGGCCCTTACTCCATACGCTCTGTGAAGTGTTATTAGTGGGCTGCCTTCAATCAGACCGGATTCTCGCTTCTACAAATACCCGGCTTAGAACCAAGGGGCATGCTGTTCCCTGGCCTTGTTTGCTCCATGTGTTGTGTCGCCTACACTCAAGTAAGTGCCATATGCACTTGCACTAACTTAGTTGCTTCCCTCTTGAGGGACCGGATTCTTCCCTCCACAGAGACCCAGCTTAAATCCAACTTGGTTGCATAAATGACCATACATGCTCTGCTTTGTAATACCCCACATATAGAGGCTTGCCATACGTAGCGTAGGCCACCGCCGCCACCCTTTTCATGAAATTGGTTGTTAAGGTAGTTAGCTTTACAACGGTACACTCAATAAGGCAACTCTTCCTTTCATGCTTGCAATGTAGGACATGTTTTCCAATCTAGTGATACCGTATTTCGAAATAAGTGAGTGTAAGATGAAGAAGAAACTCACGTGAGTGCATATGATAAACCTACCGGTAGCTTTGCCGAGAATGCCGTTAGAGGGTACGGCTGGCGAAAAGGTTCGGCACGGCGATGTGTGAAACTCGGATGACGAGGATTCGCAACAAGGGTCTGACATGCTACTCGATTTTCGCTCAAGTTGAAAGGCGTTGCTCAAACAGGCGTTCCTCTCGAACTCAACGGCCAAGGTCCTACAACTTCAATATCCCTCTGCGACGAATGCAATGCAGACTAGCCAGCTACCACTTTCTCTTTCTCCACAACTAATAATGCAGACTAGCTACGGCTTTCTCTTTCTCTGCGACTAGAAATGCAGACAAGCTACCACTTTCTCTTTCTCTTTGCGACTGATAATGCCAATAAGCTACTGCTTTCGCTTTCTCCCTGCGACCAACAGAAGCCGCATAATAGTCGTATATATAATGCAGCTGCAGGTCTTGTGAGATTTTCGCCTAGTCGCACATCCCCACTGTTGAACCTGATTGGGCTAACGGAAAGATGCGACGAACGAGAAAGCACACCGCGTTGTGCCATCGAATGTGATTCGCGAACGAGACAATGCATCCCGTCCTCCTCACCAATAATTTCGTTCCTGCGATGCACTCGAGTCAAGAACCACCTGACTTGGACCCCTCCGAGGGTTCACAGTGCATCCGTCCTCCTCTCCAATAATTCTCGTCCCTGCGATTCACTCGATCGAGCCAAGGATTCCCTCATTTTAAGTTATGGACCCATCGCCAAGCCGTCGCACGCATCCGCATATCCCGTATCGCGCGCCAATAATTTACTCATCAAGCCCGCGTCGCGGTCCTATAATTGTAAGCTTGAATTATCGGCACGGCGCCTGCCATGTAGTTATCACTTTTGAGAAATCTCAAAAGTATATCTCTAAAGTAATCACCAGCCCACAGCAGTCCATTTCCTCAAGCCTGCTATTCGTCTCATCCGTGACGTTCTTCTTCTCATCGCCGCGTTCTGTCCTCTCTGGTTGCATTCTTGCTCTGCAGTCGCCTTGCACCGCCTTGCACCGCCTTGCACCGCCGTGCACCGCCTTGCACTGGACTCACCTTGCACTGGACAGCGCAAGCTCCTCTTTTGCGCCGCTGGTGCTCCTCGTGGGTAGCCTCTTCACCACTTCTGCCACTCGCCGCAACTTCAGCTGCCGCCTCCGCCGCCTCTCACCGCCTCTTCCGCCGCCTCTCACTGCCGTCATCATCATGGGGTCGAAGCGCGCCTCTCTTGCCGGCCTCCTGCTGCTCGCCCTTGCCCTCATCATTTGCGGTCAGTCTGCTTCTTCTCTCATTGCCTCTCATTTTGACCTTGCGGCTCTCGAACCCACACCTTTCTCCCTCTTCCCTCCTTATTGCTCGCTTCTGTTTTCCACTTCTGTTCTCCCTGTTTGCAGCTCGATTTTCTGTTCTCTTCCCCCTCTGCTCTCTCATATCGGCTCTTTGTTCTTTTCCCCCTCTGTTCTCTTCTCATATCGTCCTCTCCTTTGTCCCCTGCAGCAGTTCAGATGGTGAAGGCAGCGTATGGAGATGACACGGTGAAACGCATGGCACGCCGTAGCCTGCTGAATTCCGTGTATGGCGACCAACCAGAACCACCAGCGACTGCATATGGGGACCAGACAGAACCACCAGCGACCACAGGTGAGGAACGTATGAAAGGGAAGGGCGTGATTCTGAGGAGCGTGAGTGTGAGGACGTGAGTATGAAGGCGTGATTGTGAGGGCGTGATTATGAGGGCGTGATTGTGAGGGCGTGACTGTGAGGGCGTGATTATGTGAGGCGCGGGTGATGTACCGCACCGCACCCATGCCCACCACTCTCACATGATAATCTTACTGTCCGTTACGTCTCCCTCTGCCTTGCTTCTCCCCATCCCATGCATCTCCCCTTCTTGCTGCATTCGCCATTCTCGTTTTATTGCGACAGAGACCACCACCACTGGCAGCACCACCGGCACCACCACCACTGACAGCACCACCAGCAGCGCCACCAGTGGCAACATCACCACCAGCAGCGCCACCAGTGGCAACATCACCACTGGCAGCACCAGTGGAAACAGCACCACCAGCAGCGCCACCAGTGGTACGGTCAGAAGGCGTGATTATGAAGGGCGTGAATATGAAGGGCGTGATTCTGAAGGTTGTGATTCACGCTGCCGTTCACTTAAGGGCAATGACTTGTCTGGCGTAACCAGTCCGCCCCAACGCCCTCTTGTCTCTGTCATGCCCTTATTTCGTCTGTAAGCACTCCCATATCTTTGGTCCTCTGCTCCAGATCCTGCCTGTGCGGCGTTGGGCTGTGAGCCGGGTGGCAAATGTGAGGTGGATGGAAACGGAGAGCGCTACTGCAAGTGGGGTGAGTGAGCATGGCGTTTCCCATTCCCACCTCAAGTCATGCATGCGTACTTGGTATATCAACCCCACGCAATTCATGCAAATACCTCATGCATCCCTTGTCATCCCCATGCCATCAAGCCCCATACATCACGCACTCCTCTATCAACCCCATATCCACCTCTCATACAAGATAATTACACCGCCTCCCTCTCTCTTGTTTCTCCCTCTGCCTTGCTTCTCTTCTTCCCTCGCTTTTCCTCTCCCCAAACCCCGCATCTCCCTTGCATGCTGCGTTTTTCAGCCTCACCCTATGTCACCTGCCCTACTGAAGCCTCAATTTCCCACCAGCATTACTCTGACATACCTCACTGCACCCATCCCCACCCAACCCCTCAGACTCACCCTGTGGCGCCTGTCCCACTGGAGCCACCTGCAAGACCGTGCCTCTAGAAAGAAACGTCTCGGTGCAGGTGCCTTACTGCGAGTGCCCTGCAGGCTATGGGATGACCGCCACTGAATGTGTTGCGGGTGAGTCCGCACTCTCCTCTCCTCACTCTTCCCACACTTTCCTCTCCTCACTCCTCCGACAATCTCCTCTCCTCACTCTTCCCACACTCTCCTCTGCTCACTTGCCGCACTTTCTCCTCTCCCCACTCCCCTTGAATCCCCAATCTCCATTCCCCTGGTCTAAAGAACCCCCCCCCCCCCCCCCCCCCCAAAGTCATGTCTCCCAAGTGGGGATCTATTGGACTCTCCCCACCCTCCCCGAGTCCCCACTCTCCATTGCCCCTGCTTCACATTTTCTCGCCCTTCTGAATCGGCTGAACGTTGCCAAGTCTGTCCAATCAAGCCAGTTGCCAAGTCTGTCCAATCAAGCCAGTTGCCAAGTCTGTCCAATCAAGCCAGTTGCCAAGTCTGTCCAATCAAGCCAGTTGCCAAGTCTGTCCAATCAAGCCAGTTGCCAAGTCTGTCCAATCAAGCCAGTTGCCAAGTCTGTCCAATCAAGCCAGTTGCCAAGTCTGTCCAATCAAGCCAGTTGCCAAGTCTGTCCAATCAAGCCAGTTACCAAGTCTGTCCAATCAAGCCAGTTGCCAAGTCTGTCCAATCAAGCCAGTTGCCAAGTCTGTCCAATCAAGCCAGTTGCCAAGTCTGTCCAATCAAGCCAGTTGCCAAGTCTGTCCAATCAAGCCAGTTGCCAAGTCTGTCCAATCAAGCCAGTTACCAAGTCTGTCCAATCAAGCCAGTTGCCAAGTCTGTCCAATCAAGCCAGTTGCCAAGTCTGTCCAATCAAGCCAGTTGCCAAGGCTGTCCAATCAAGCCAGTTGCCAAGTCTGTCCAATCAAGCCAGTTGCCAAGTCTGTCCAATCAAGCCAGTTGCCAAGTCTGTCCAATCAAGCCAGTTGCCAAGTCTGTCCAATCAAGCCAGTTACCAAGTCTGTCCAATCAAGCCAGTTGCCAAGTCTGTCCAATCAAGCCAGTTGCCAAGTCTGTCCAATCAAGCCAGTTGCCAAGTCTGTCCAATCAAGCCAGTTGCCAAGTCTGTCCAATCAAGCCAGTTGCCAAGTCTGTCCAATCAAGCCAGTTGCCAAGTCTGTCCAATCAAGCCAGTTGCCAAGTCTGTCCAATCAAGCCAGTTGCCAAGTCTGTCCAATCAAGCCAGTTGCCAAGTCTGTCCAATCAAGCCAGTTGCCAAGTCTGTCCAATCAAGCCAGTTGCCAAGTCTGTCCAATCAAGCCAGTTGCCAAGTCTGTCCAATCAAGCCAGTTGCCAAGTCTGTCCAATCAAGCCAGTTGCCAAGTCTGTCCAATCAAGCCAGTTGCCAAGTCTGTCCAATCAAGCCAGTTGCCAAGTCTGTCCAATCAAGCCAGTTGCCAAGTCTGTCCAATCAAGCCAGTTGCCAAGTCTGTCCAATCAAGCCAGTTGCCAAGTCTGTCCAATCAAGCCAGTTGCCAAGTCTGTCCAATCAAGCCAGTTGCCAAGTCTGTCCAATCAAGCCAGTTGCCAAGTCTGTCCAATCAAGCCAGTTGCCAAGTCTGTCCAATCAAGCCAGTTGCCAAGTCTGTCCAATCAAGCCAGTTGCCAAGTCTGTCCAATCAAGCCAGTTGCCAAGTCTGTCCAATCAAGCCAGTTGCCAAGTCTGTCCAATCAAGCCAGTTGCCAAGTCTGTCCAATCAAGCCAGTTGCCAAGTCTGTCCAATCAAGCCAGTTGCCAAGTCTGTCCAATCAAGCCAGTTGCCAAGTCTGTCCAATCAAGCCAGTTGCCAAGTCTGTCCAATCAAGCCAGTTGCCAAGTCTGTCCAATCAAGCCAGTTGCCAAGTCTGTCCAATCAAGCCAGTTGCCAAGTCTGTCCAATCAAGCCAGTTGCCAAGTCTGTCCAATCAAGCCAGTTGCCAAGTCTGTCCAATCAAGCCAGTTGCCAAGTCTGTCCAATCAAGCCAGTTGCCAAGTCTGTCCAATCAAGCCAGTTGCCAAGTCTGTCCAATCAAGCCAGTTGCCAAGTCTGTCCAATCAAGCCAGTTGCCAAGTCTGTCCAATCAAGCCAGTTGCCAAGTCTGTCCAATCAAGCCAGTTGCCAAGTCTGTCCAATCAAGCCAGTTGCCAAGTCTGTCCAATCAAGCCAGTTGCCAAGTCTGTCCAATCAAGCCAGTTGCCAAGTCTGTCCAATCAAGCCAGTTGCCAAGTCTGTCCAATCAAGCCAGTTGCCAAGTCTGTCCAATCAAGCCAGTTGCCAAGTCTGTCCAATCAAGCCAGTTGCCAAGTCTGTCCAATCAAGCCAGTTGGTTAGAGCATTACTGTGGATGAAGATGAAAACACCGATCCTAACGAGTCTTTCCTTTTGCTATTCTTTTTCAGGAGGAAACTCCACAGTTGGTTGGGACAGCATCACACTCATCGCAAATCCAGCAGCCAAGGACAATACCTCCCGGCCCTACACCCTCCGCCTGAACCCGAATGGCTGCACGCAGTTCCCAACTCTAATGACTGGAAAAGCGGCCTATTATTTTGTTTACATGATCGGCACCAGCGGCCGTATGAATTGCCGGATTTACAACCATTACAATATGAACAACTGTGAAGGCAAACTTATTGTAGTCTCTTCCGGGCTCGGCACCGGAAAACCGTATTGGCCAGACGCTGCGCTGTAAGTGATGGAGTGGTCTCTCTCCATTATTGTCACCATGCCTTGCACAACCTTCCCTCTCCCTTTTCTGCTCCAACCGTCAGAAGCAACCTTTCCTCTTTGTTAACCCCTTGTTTGCACCATTCACCAGGTTGGACCGCCCAAGCTCCGCTCGTTCTGAGAAGTGTCCTTAGTGCATGGCCTTCACTTACCGGTATTAAAGTGCCATTTGCACATGCTTCAACTTAAAACGGATCCTCCCTTCCAAGTTGGTTGCATCCTTTCCGTCCAGTCGAACCATTGCACCTGCTTTAGGGCGTGTTCCTACTAGCCATGGTCAGTCCAACCTCATACCATACTTTGCAAGGACTCGAAGTATTCGTTATGAAGCACCAATTTCCAATATTGAATAACCAGTCGCGCGAAATGGATACGTGTGTGATGTGGCACACCACACCAGCAATCCATGTCGTATCACCCCTTCTGTTGAACCTGGGTGGGAGACTTTAATACCTTACTCACCCCACATGATCGTAATCGGCCCCTCACGGCATACGAAATATCAGAAAGCAACATCTTGGCAGGCGTGCTCGACTCACACAATCTGGTACCGTAGATCCCTTTCAAGAAAGGCAAAACCGGTTTTCTTGTTTGAGTCACCCATCCATGACAGCCCGTCAGGGCAGCCATCTGCATCCAGGCTTGATAGAATTCACATTAGCAAGTCGTGGGTACAACGCATCCTCATGTTCTCATATCAGGCCACTACACACCCAGTGTCCGACCATTCCAGGTATCCAGAGTGTAGGCTGGGGTTTGACAACCCCATCTGTGCCCAACGCGCCTGGCGGCTCCCACAAGCACTCATTCATAAGCCTTTTGTGAATCAGCTCGTCCACGAGGCATGCAGTCAGCTTCCGTCCCCCCTCCGTCCCGAGCTGTGGGACCCCTGGAAAAAAACGGTTATGCGCACTCTTGCGACAATACACCCGTGAGGAACGAATACGGGTCACCAAGACATCATCTCACCTTCAGAACGAAATATGTAGACTACAGCTGCTATTGGTTCGAATGCCACAAGATCAGGTGGCAAAAGCCTTGCTAGACGAAGCGTCCAAGCAGTTTGAACGATACGTTGCCACCAGAGCGGCGGACATTGCAATGAAGGCTAAACTTAAAGTGGAAGGAGCTAAAGAAATGGGACTCCCCTCACTACTGGTCGGCCTCAACGCAAGGAATGAAGCAGCCATGGTTACTCACCTCGTCCTCCCGTCGGGTGAACAGACCTCTAACCTACGCACGATGTCGGCTCACTGTACTGAGTTCCACGACCAATTATATAGCGGAGGCAACACGGCCACCCCCACCAACGAGTTTTGGAACCACATATACCCCTCACAACTCCCTACAGCCACCGTCAACAGGATTGCGGCACCTCTGACTCTGACGGAAGTAAAAAATGCAATCCTTGCCCTATCACGTGGCAAGACACCTGGACACGATGGGCTGGCTGGAGACTTCTATCGGGCACATCTCACCAACCTTACACCAGCACTTCACGACCTGTTTGCCTCAATCCAGTCCTCACAATGCATGCCGGAGTCTATGCTGCTAGGACGAACGGTGCTCATTCCTAAACGCGCCGATGCGTCGCTTGTTGAAAACCTGCGACCAATCACACTGATGACCTCGGTATACAAGATTCTTGCGATTTGTTTGGCGAAACGCCTACAAATAACTCTCAGGCGCATCATACATCCCTCTCAATCCGCAATCATCAAAAGGAAGACGCATTGGCGACACCATTAACGACTCATTGGACCTCATGGAATGGGCAGAGACAAAGAATCTACCACTACTCATGCTTACGGTTGACACTAAAAAAACCTATGACATGGTGGATAGAGAATTTATGTACACATGCCTGGCTCACCTTGGGATCCCCTCACGAATGGGTAAGGCTACTACATACTGGTGCCAGGACACAAATCCTGGTCAATAACCTGGCCGGCAGACCTATACCTGTCCTTACCGGTGTCCGTCAAGGCTGTCCCTTGGCACCCCTGCTTTTCATTTGCGACATTGAAATACTGCACAGACACCTCTCGGTTGCCTTACCAGGGTTTTGTCAGAATAGCAGCTAGAAAGTTAGAACAGGAAAGAGGGTTTGCACTAGCAGGCAGTTGAGTACATATAGGAAACCCTAATTTGGGCTATACTCGCTATAGAGTACCCCACTGCAGGCTAGACAAATATCACATTCTGACACACCCCCATAGTCAAAATGGGGTATAATCAGCACAGCAAGCAGTCATAGAGCAGGTTCACAAGTACAAGCAAAGCTAGAGGCATTCACAAAGGGCAAGTGAGGAGGAGGAGGTGGGACTGTGAGAGGAGAGGAGATAGGAGGCGACGACTAAAGCTGCAGACACACGGGCAACAGGAGCCGCACTGACGGAGTGGCTACCGGAGCAAGGGCCCCGGACTACAGGAGTAACTGGCTCCGCGGCTAAGACGAGCGGCAGGAGCAACGGACCCACGGGCAACTGGCGCAGCTGGCTCAAACTGGGCTACCGGAGCAAGGGCCCCGGACTACTGGCGCTGCTAACGACACGACGAGTGCCTCCGCTCAACCTCCCCCAACTGTCCCACCCCCCTTTCACACACCCACTGCTGCACCTCTAGCTCCACTCCCACGACACCCCCCTAGCACCACTCCTTCGGCTCCGACACACCCACCCCCCTCAACGGCAGCTGCAGCAGTGGGAGACGGAGGAGGAGGAGGAGCAGGGGACGCCTCACACACCCGCCACTCCCATACCCGCCACCCCCATACCCCCAACGCAGGCGGCGCACGCGCCGCGCGGGGCAGAAACGCGGGCAGAAGCTGGGCGCGCTGCAGGGCAGGGCGCGCGGCAGGGCAGGGCGTGCTGCAGGGCAGGGCAGGGCGCGGCGCTCAGGGCGACGGGCGACGGGTAGGGCGGCGCGCGGGCCCCCAGGGCGCCGCGACGGGCGACGGGAGGGGGCGACGCGCGGGCCCCCAGGGCGCCGCGACGGGCGACGGGCAGGGCGGCGCGCGAGCCCCCGGGGCGCCGCGACGGGCGACGGGAGGGGGGCGGCGCGCGGGCCCCCAGGACGCCGCGACAGGCGACGGGAGGGGGGGACGCGCGGGTCCCCAGGGCGCCGCGACGGGCGACTGGAGGGGACAGCGCGCGGGCCCTCGGGGCGCCGCGACAGGCGACGGGAGGGGGCGACGCGCGGATCCCCAGGGCGCCGCGACTGGCGACGGGAGGGGGGGACGGCGCGCGGGCCCCTGGGGTGCCGTGACAGGAAACGAAACCGCCGCGCGCGCCCGAGGCGCGCGGCGGGCAGGAAACCGCCACGGGCCCCGAGCGCGTGGCGGGCAGAAAACCACTGCGCGCCCCGAGCGCGCGGCGGGAAGAAAAAACGTCGCGCGCCACGGGGCGCGCGACAGACAGTACAGCAGCGGAAGCAGGTGGGCCCACAGGCCAGGAGCGTAGACGCTCTGATAGCATGTCAGAATAGCAGCTAGAAAGTTAGAACAGGAAAGAGGGTTTGCACTAACAGGCAGTTGAGTACATATAGGAAACCCTAATTTGGGCTATACTCGCTATAGAGTACCCTACTGCAGGCTAGACAAATATCACTTTCTGACAGGTTTGCCTTTGCACCAGCCCAAAGAAGACTCTCCGCTTGCTACGCGGATGACATGACGCTGTTTCTCAATAACGGAGAGGAACTTCAGACAACAATGAAGTACCTTCAATCCTTTGCCGCATTATCGGGTGAACATCCCAACTGGACAAAGTGCTCAGCACACCTCTTGCATGTTCCGACCGAGGAAGTCCCAGCTACCTGTCCCATCCCCATACGACAACCCAACGAGGCGGAGCGGATACTTGGCATATTCATTCAAAATGACACTCCGGGCACAACCACTTGGGAGACAATCCTGGCCAAGCTGCTTCAGGGGCGGCGGCTCCAGGGGCGGCTGCTGCAGCGGAAAGTAGGAGGGAGGGGAGGGGAAGGGCGCGGCCCCCATTGTGCCCTGACGGGCGATGTGCTAGGGAGCCGCGCAGGTCCCCAAAAGTGCCTCGACTGGCAACGAGAGGGGACCGCGCGCAGGCCCCTAAGGCGCCGCGACGAGGCAACGGGAGGGGCCGGCTCGCGGGCCCCGAAAGTGCCGCGACGAGGCGACGGGAGGGACCTGCGTGAAGGCCCCCAAAACGCCTCGACGAGGCGACGGTCGGGGCCAGTGCGCGGGCCCCTAAGACGCCGCGACGAGGTAGGAACCCGCCGCGCGCCTCGGGGCGCACGGCGGGCAGAAAACCGCCACGCGCTCCGAGCGCGTGGCGGGAAGAAAAATGGGATGTCGCGCGCCACGGGGCGCGCGACACACAGTAGGGCAGCGGAATCGAGTGGGCCCACAGGCCAGGAACGTTAAGCTCTGATAACATAACAAAATACTAGCGTGAGTTTGGCTTAGGAGCCATAGTTTAGGAGCCTTGGTAGTTGAGTTGGAGTTTAGGAAAAGTATCGAGAGGTTTTGGAAGGAGAGGAATGAGGTTTCACTAGCAAGAGTTGGGATACAAGTACAACACCCTAAATTGGGTTGTACTCATTACAGAGTACCCCACTGCAGGCTAGACAGCAAATACATTCTGACAGGTACGAGCATCCACAGGACTTCTGGCCAAACTGCACGCCACATCCACGTGTCGTTCGGCCTTGGCGTCAGAGCGGCTGGTGTCAGTCTTTGCTTACGGGGGACGTTTCCAACCTCCACCAGAAGGAGTAACCAAGACACTAGACAGAGTATCAGAGAATTTCCTATCAGCGTCTAAATATAAAGCGGAAGGAATGGCAATGAGATTCATTCCCGATCGGATTCTGTATAACTCGCGGAAGGATGGTGGTGTGGGGGCAATTAAGCCATCCGCGTACATTCAGGCACTCAATGTTCAACGGGCGACGAGGCGGTTTGGCCCCTCGCCGCTGGAGGACATTGCCAGGGCTTGCTCAACCCTTCCCTTTGGGCTACACTGCTTTCTCGCCAACGACGACATTGTCAAGTTTCTGCCAGATAACATACCGTCCAGAGCAGCGGCAGAGCTCACAGCAGTAATCGAGCTCAAATGCAAGGTCCGGCCGCCAAGACTGGAGCCCTAGGTCCTGATGGCGGAGCCCATAGCGTTCAATCGATGCATCAGGAGGAGCGATGGCCTCTCCTTCGGGCGAACCAAAGGCGATCGATTCCTTTTGATAGAAGAGGTCCGACTGGGCAACATTCTGCAATCAACTTCTACCGGCGCTAGACAACTTACGGAAGCAGATTTCCTGCCAGAATACCCCACCACCAACTACCCTGGAGGGCGCAGCCTGCTCAAGGCAATATATAAAGCGGTGCCGGATGAATGGTGGCCTATTCTACGCTCCTTCATACCACCAAGCACGTACCTGACCATCGGTGAATGGGTAATATTGGCGCAGCAACGTGGAGGCGTCATATCACAAGTGTTGCAGGTGCGGGCTCTTCTCTCCAACGGCACGGCACGTCTCAGCAGTTTCGGGGTAGACGACAATCGGCGGGTAGCAGCAGTACCTTCCGGCAGCTGTCTCCTGCCCATCAGTGCGGTAATTCCGGTGTATGTTCCCAATGGGTGGTACGCGGGCACCTACTGCTCTGAAGCCGGCCTCGGAAGCAGATTAGAGTTGCTACAACATACATCGTCACTCTCATCCATCAGGCGGCTCAGCTACTCTGCACAGAAACTCAACCATCTCGACAGGTGGAACGCAATACTCCCCGTCCCGCTACCGGCGCTCCCCACTCTGAAACAACCCTTCCTCCAAGAGCAGTTCAGCCGGCAGCGAGATATCCTACTGCGCCTCTACACGCTTTCGCTCTCCTGTGGAGCACGGTTCCACTTTACGACATCAGGAAGCATCTGCCCGCGGTGCAACAACGGATGTACTGAGACAATTACGCACATTTTTGCTGAATGTGGGAATGCGCCTATCATCACCATGGCCTTACAACGAGCTGCCCACGATCATCTAGGGATTACGAAACCGACGGAAATGATGCTCTTTCCAGTTGTAGTCGATGATCAATTGTTTTGCAGTTGATGGTTGGAGTTTGGCTGCTATTGGTCGGCGAGGTGCAAAAAATGGAAAGGGGTGCAACGAGGGATGCGAGGGGAACTGAAATCGTTTGAGAGTGTCCTAACCTCCTAGGCATGGAAATAGGTTCGGAGCCGAAGCTGAAATGCCAGTGAAATGTCGTGACTGGTCGAAAGTCCCATGTACCCGAAATTTGTTTTGCAATTGGTGCTGGGGCAAAAATGGGGGAGTGTCGCACGCCTACTTCCCTAGCCAACTAGTCTATTTCGCCTACAAAACACGGTAACTCAGCATCAAATGTTTTGCAATTGACCCTTACTTGAGACCCTGGTTTTAAATTCGACTCGGCAGGAATACCAGACATACACCCTGACTTACGGCGTACCTGGTTCCACAGGGAAAATTTCCACCCACCATAGGACATGACTCGCAAATTGAATAGTGCTGGTCGGGTGTAGTGATCAACTCACCTGCTTGCAAAAGGCAGGACAGTCAAGCGTCGTAGGCGCAAACCTTTTAGGTTTCGGGACTCAGCCCGTATACTGTTCCAGCACTGTATGCATGGTTACGACCATTTAATAAAACTTAAAACTTAAAACTGAACTTGGGTGGGAGACAAACGGAAAAGGCTTTGCTGAGGGCGAAGTCAGGTTATACAATTCTCACGCGTTTACAGTTTTTGTTTTGTGGTTCAGGATGGTCCAGCACGGTGAAAAGCGGTTCTCGCCTCGTATCGCTCTGCACCGTGTTGAAACAAAGATAACCGCAGTAGGCGTACAGGAGGTTGTACAACCTGACGTCGCCCTGAAAGCCAGTTCGCTACGCTATTGGCTCGCGAACGATTCTCCATCGCGTCCTTTTCCAGGAACTCCTCGCTGGTCTTCGTGAGTAACTTCGCTCCCCTGTATTTCCTCACATTCAAAACTTCGTTCCCCGTGACTCACGCCAGCCTATGTGGCTACTTTTTCGAACTTCGTTGGAACGCGTCTCTTGAACAGGCAGGCTACGAACGTAGTTGCTAGTTTCTCGCCTTGCCATGTCATCACCAATGCCGAACGTGATTGGAAGCCACAAACGGAAAAGGCCTTGCTGGAAGCCTCTACGTTTCGCCATTGGCTCGCGAATGATACTCCACCGCGTTCCCTTTCCAGCAATTCGTCGCTCGTATAGCGATCCTGAATGCAGATTATATTTTCCCCGCGACTCACGCGAGCCAAGCACATTCTTGCGAATCCGATTCAAGCCACTTTCCATATCGGGATTTATTCAGCCAAGAACGCGGCATTCGCCAAGGCGCGGCGGCTGTTACGCTTGGCTCATTTGTGCAACTCGCGACATAAATCGAAGTCCAAAGCATGCCTGCCATTTTTTCGACCATTCTCCTTTCAGTTCTGTCGTTGCACTTGACTATCCTTGCATTGGAGTATCCGTCATTCCACCCACCTCCGAGTAGCACAGGACCACGTTGAGCTGAATCGAAAGCACGCCTACACTCCGCACTTTATCGTCGTCTGTTGCGCCTCTTCTGCCGCCTCTCCCACGGGACCCCCACCGTCATCATCATGGGGTCGATGCGCGCTTCTCCTGCCGGACTCCTTCTCCTCACCCTTGCCCTAATCTGTGGTAAGGTCTTCTTCGATCTCCTTATCTCTCATATCTGCAAAAGCTTTGACTTGTATTAACCCCTCCCGTGATGTACGGCCTCTCATACCCGTGCCTTCTCTCTGCTCCTTCCTTCCCGCTCTATTCTGTTGTACCTCTATCCTTAAGGGAGTGCCTTTTCTAATGCTATCCTCCCTTATCCCGCCTCTGCCAGCTCTCTCATATCTTCTCTCTCTTCTCTTCTCCGCACGCCCTCTCCCGTGTCCTCTGCAGCAGTTCAGATGATGAAGGCAACGCATGGCGACGACATGGTGAAACGCACGACGCACCGCGTGGCACACTGGAGCATGCTGTCTAACGCGTATGGCGATGGCACAATACCAAAAAGCTTCAACACGGGCAGCAACAACGAGGGCAGCCCCAACACGGGCAGCCCCAACACGGGCAGTCCCAGCACGGGTAGCCCCAACAAGGAAAGCCCTGGCAAGGGAAGCACCAGCACGGATATCCCCGGCACGGGCAGCCCCAGCAAGGGCAGCCCTAAAAAGGACCGCACGGGCAGCCCCAGCATGGATATTCCCGGCACGGGCAGGGGCAGCCTCAACGAGGCCCTTACCACGCAGGTGGCGACGGAGGTGGCGGTGGGAGCGCTGCGGCTGACCTTCAGCAAGCAGGCCATGCGGAGCGGCGTGACTGTGTGGTGGCAGGGGCGTGGGAGCTTGAGCTCTGGAGGCTCCAGCAACGGGGGCTCCAGCTACGGGTATTCGAGCCACGTGGATTCGGGTAGCAAAGCGGGGGGTGTCTCGTGCGCGCAGGTCAAGTTTTTTGGGAAGGCCGGCTGCCAGGGCAAGGAGGTGGATAGCATGGTCAACACTGCCACTGCAGCCAAGTGAGTTGTGGTTGGTGTGTGTTAATGGTGCCACGTGTGTCAGTGGTGCCACTTGTGTTAGTGGTGCCATGTGTGTCAGTGGTGCCACGTGTATCAGTGGTGTCATGTGTGTCAGTGGTGCCATGTGTGTCAGTGGTGCCATGTGTGTCAGTGGTGCCATGTGTGTCGGTGTGAGTTTGGGTGGTTTGGCCGCGTGTAAGGCACTGAGAGAGGACACTAGCGGTGTATGGCTTGGGGAGGAGATGGGGAGGGGAGGGGGAGGGGAGGGTCAGTAACAAAACTGGATGGAATATGATCGAGTTGACATCTCTTGTGCTTCCACTTGCCACGCCCTTCCGGTTCAAAAGCTAACGAAGAAAGCTCCGCGAGGGGCCTCTGTCACCTGCACCAATGCACTTTTGAGGCGCCTCAAAAGCCATCTCTTGTGCTTCCACTTGCCACGCCCTTCAGGTCCCCAAGCACAAAGAAGAAGCTCCGAAGTTGGGCTTCCGTAGCTTCTGTTCTCTGCGCTGTTCCTGAGCAGCAGAAGGAAGACACGCCACAGCAGCCGCATCAGACAGGAGTTACGCCGTAGCAGACGGAAGTTATGCCGCAGCAGCCGGAAGTTACGCCGCAGCAGCAGGAAGTCACGCCGCAACAGCCGGAAGTTACGCCGCAGCAGCTGGAAGTCACGTCGCAGCAGCCGGAAGTTACGCCGCAGTAGCCGGAAGTTATGCCGCAGCAGCCGGAAGTTATGCCGCAGCAGCCGGAAGTTATGCCGCAGCAGCCGGAAATTATGCCGCAGCAGCCGGAAGTTACGCCGCAGCAGCAGAAAGTTACACCGCAGCAGCCGGAAGTCACGCCGCAGCAGCCGAAAGTTACGCCGCAGCAGCCGGAAGTTACGCGGCAGCAGCCGGAAGTTACGCTGCACCAGCCGGAAGTTACGCCGCAGCTTCTGCCAGTTGCTGTGAATTTCCGGTCGTGAAAAATGGGTCGCTACTGTATCCGTGGGTGAATAGGCTTGTTAGCAGTGGGTTAGTTTGGGCGAGTAGGATTGCGTAGAGTGAAGCGGTGGGGCGTGTGAGTGCGTCGGCGATATTCGATGCGCCTTTTTTGTACGTGACTGTGTAGTGGAAATTGGACTCCAGATAGTCCAACCAGCGGATCTGTCTCGGGTTGAGATTTGGTTGGGCGCGGAGGTACTGTAGTGATCGGTGGTCTGTACGTACTGTCACGTCTGCTCCCGTGAGGTAACATTGCCACACCTTGAACGCGTGCACGATTGACAGCATCTCGCGGTCGTGTATCGGGTAGTTGCGTTCGGGTGGGTGAAGCTTGCGGGACTCGTACGCGATTGGCTGGAGGAAGTTCCCGAAGTCCTGCAACAGTACTTCTCCCACGGCGATGTCGCTAGCGTCGGTGGCGAGCTCGAACGGACAGTGCGGATCTGCAATGTGAAGCACGGGCGGTGAGCACAAAATTTGTTTGAGGGCCGAGAAGGCAGCTTGCTCTTTCTCCCCCCACATGTACTCAACCCCCTTCCTCAGCAGGTCGGTCAACGAGGCAGTCAACTTTGCCATGTCGGGGACGAACCGTCGCACGTAGTTGACGAACCCCAAAAAGCTCTGCAACTCGGTCGGGTTTGTCGGCGCGTGCCACGCTTGAATCGTCGCGATCTTCTTCGGGTCTATTTCCACTCCTTCAGCTGAAATAATATGTCCCAAAACCTCCAGTTTGTCCTGTAAAAACTCACACTTAGAGGCTTTAGTCAGTAGGCGGTTCTCACTCAGTATTTAAAAAACGGCTTTGTCAGTAGGCGGTTCTCCTGTAGGTGATGTGCTCTGTCTGGGCTGTAAATCAGTATGTTGTCAAGGTACACGATGACGCACTTATCTAAAAGCGGGCGGAATGTTTCGTTCATGGTCATTTGAAAGGTGGCCGGGGTGTTGGTCAGTCCGAAGGGCATGCCAGTGTACTTGAAGGATCCGTAGCGTGTTCGGAAGGCTGTTTTCGGGCAGTCGGGTGGGTTGACTCGGATCTGGTGGTAGCCTCCTCGAAGGTCGATTTTCGAGAAAACCCGGGCTGTTCGCAGTTGGTCGATCAGCTAGTCGGCTCGTGGGATGGGGTAATGGGATTTGATGGTAACCCTGTTTAGTGCGCGGTAGTCGATGCACATGCGAAAACCCCCGTCCTTTTTCGGTGTGAACAGTATCGGTGTTGCGAACGGTGATGAACTCGGACGAATAAATTCCTTCTCGAGCAGGTAATCCAGCTGCTTCCTTAGTTCGTTCAGTTCGGGCTGGGTCAGCCGGAACTGTCGCTGTACTGTCGGCTGTGCCCCCGGTTCTAACTCTATCCTGTGGTCGTGCGGTCGCTGAGGTGGCAGTCCCGTTGGCAGGTCATCCAGAAATATCCCACTGTACCGCTTCAGGAGTGCTGCCAAATAATCAGGTACGTCGGCTAGCAGTTTCTGTAAATCTCCCCCTTTGTCTGTTGCCTCGGCTTCCCGAATCTCAACCGCGTACACGTCAGCCCCTGCCGCTACAGCGCGTTTCATCGTTATCGCGTTGACACGCACCGACGAAGACTCAGGCGAGCCCCAGCGAGATAAGGCGATATTGTTACCGTTCACTCGCACGGTGTAGTCACCCATCGTCCAGTCGATTCGTGGATTGTGTCGTCGCAGCCAATCACGACCGAGTAAAATGTCGGTTCCGTCGAGGGTTGTCGCAAGCATTTCCTGACTAAACGTAAAGTTACCTCCGCATCGAATCCGAACCCGGTCTACGAGCGTTCCTGTATCGCCAGTGGTGTGCCGTCAACCAATCTTGCGTCGATCTTAGGTAAACATTTGTCCAGTGGCAGTCTCAGTTTCCGTGCTGTGGCAGTGTTGATGAGGCTGTGGCTGGCTCCCCCGTCTACGAATATTTTAACTAAGTCCGTCCCGATTTTCCCACTAAGCAGTTTGGGGCTGTCTACCGTAGTACCCTCCTTATTCGACCGGGTGTGGTCGATTGCGTGAAGCGGCACAATCACTCGGTGAGGGTCGGTTGGGTCGGGCGAGCGGCGTGACCTGTCAGTAGAGGGCCCGTCTGCTACTGACTCCCAGCGTTTCCCTGCTGCTTGGTCTGTTTCTGCTACTCAGCTTCCCCCTTTCCCTTAGCGTTTTCCGGGCATTCGCTCTTGCGGTGTCCCGGCCGATTGCACGTGAAGCAGCGCCCTTTGAACGGTGCGGCAGCGGCATTCGTGGCGACGGCACATATCGTAGCGCCCTCGTTCGTCCCACGAGATCGATGTCCCCAGTTACTGCTTCCGTAGGACCCCGGTCTCGGTCGGCGGAAAAAGTCGAGCTTCTCCGCCATGGCGAGAATGTCCTGAAAATCAGTGACGCCGCGAAGCTGAATTTCCTGAGCGATGTCGTACTTCAGGTTGCCGATGTAGCGGTCGATACGCTCGCCCTCGTGTATATATCCCACTTGCTCGCATAGCGCCAGAAACCCGCTGGTGTGATCTTGGACAGAACCGAGTTGGCGCCAAGTGTGGAGCTTCTGACGCGCCGCGATCGAAGCCGCAATTGGCTCAAATCGAGCGCGCAGACCTGCGCACCACGCGTCCCACGTGCGATATTGGGGCACCTCCACGAAATACGACGGCGCCCAGGGTCCGGTTTGTCCTTCCCGTGTCGGTAGAATCGCGTAGTCGTTCGGCTTCGTGACGATGACGCGCCACCAGTCCATGGCCGGTCCTCGCAGCAGCGACACGGCGTAGCGAATTTTTGCCGTATCCTCCGAGACGTAGTTGGAGTCGAAAAACACGTTCATCGTGAACAACCACGCGTGAATGGTAGGACCACCCCGTTGACTCGGGTCAAAACACGGCGGACGCTGTGGCTTCAGCGGCATCGGTGACGGCAGTGCCGAGTCGTTGATCGGTGCCGAAATCGTGACGCGTGGCTGGCTTCGGGCCGCATTAGTCGCCTCAGGGTGTGTCGCGCCGTGGTCGTCGTCTCCATCGTGGCGGACGACGCCATCACTAGGCGCGCTTGCGGGTCGCCCCACACTTCCGTGGTGCGATGCCTGTGGTGCGGGCTGTTTCGGAGTGCCAGGTGCTTGAGATTGTGCTTGCTGTGCTCGTGCGACGTCGTTTTGCAGGGACGTGCGTTCTGCCGTCAGCGCCGCGATTTCTTCAGAGCTTTCGCGAAGTTGCTGCAGCAGTTCGTTCAGACTCTCCTGCGTGAGGGTGGTGACGTCGACGTGTTTGGCCATTACGAAGGGCGTCGGCTTGTCTTAGTCTAGGCGCAGTCGTGGCTGCATGCGTTTACGAGAGAACGCGAGGATAGCGGCTCCTAGGGGCTAAGGTGCGTGAGTCCCTTCAAAAGTTGATATCTTGGGGTGCGGAGATGCGCGGTCCGAAAAGAAAGAGGCTCTGAATACCAAGTGTTACGGGTGTAATGAATCGAGGAGCGAGGATTGCACTAAGTGTCAATGGAGTACAAAATGTGAGCGAAGGCATGAGCGAACATTTATACGCGAAACATGCAAACGGTAATGCGGTGCATGCGAGCTAGCTAGTGCTAGGCTGGCATCGAGGCTTGGGCTAGTCCCTAGGCGTAGGCCGACACGGCCGGGCCAACGGTGCATGGTTTGGTGAAACAGTGCACGCGAAGTCGGCGAAGCCCCGTTAGCAGCAACGTGCGAACAACGGCTGCTGCTGTACGCGATGTTGCAGGATGCGCTAAGGAATGTCGAGAAAATGCCTTACAATCGCTCATGTGCCCAATCATGGCGAAAACGCACTTTAGATACCGTGGTTGGCTGCCTAGGTAGCAAGTCACGGCGCCAATCACGGTGAAAAGGCAAGACGGGAATTTCAGATTCAGGGTCGCACTCGATATAAACACTGAAAAATCAGAGTTCGAAATTCAAAAACACTGAAACATCAGGGTCGTTTTAAAAAAAAATGGCTGATGCATCAGGGTCATGATAAAAAACGAGGGTCAAACTTCAGGAATTCAGGGTACAAATCCTGACTTATGAGGCCCTGCTTGCCCCTTGACAGAGTCACCTCGCCCCTTGACAGAGTCACCTCGCCCCTTGACAGACGCACACATTTCGTGTGTCGTTTTGTTGGAAACAAGCAATTTAGTGCCTCTGTCGTGTCGAAGCACTAAGTTGTAAGCGAAGCGAAATACAAGTGAAGCATCGGCGAGTCAACCCTCGGAGGTTGAGTAACTGCTGGAGGTTACGCGAAAGTCAAAGGTCAGCAACCTTTGACCTGACAAGTACAGCGCGACAGCAAGGACAAACAACTGTCTCGATAATGAGCAGTTGCCCGAGTCGTTACTGTATCGAACCGCAACAGCAACAGCAAAAACAGTTGTTAGCTATAACCTTTCATATTCCCTTGTACTCTTATAAAAGCCTGTATCTCCTTGTTTTAATCAATCTACTTTGCCCTCACATACTAGCGCAAGGTGGTTCACAGACTTATCATTAAAACGCTTCCGCTATTACATCATTCCTACTCAGAGTTTAGTCCTGCAAAGATCCTAAGGGCTTTTTCTCAGCCCAACATGGTATGAGAGCTATCAGGGCA